AGCATTAAGCACCAGGGCAGAAAACTCACTACTAGACTGGATCCCAGTTGATAGTCGCCTCTGCGCTATGAGGCTGAACGGCACAGTGAGAACTAAAAGGAATAGTGAGACTCGCCGTTGTCTCTTTGTAATCTCTGCTTACGCACCCACTGACTGTAGTTCGGATGAAGTGAAGGACGAGTTCTACCATAAACTGTCTAACCTCCTCTCGAAAGCCAAACGTTCGGACGTAGTGGTTGTTGCAGGTGACCTCAACGCACAGGTGGGTAGACTGAGTGAGGCAGAAAGGCACTTAGGTGGCACTTTCGGAATCCCAGCTGAACGTACAGATAACGGTGATCGCCTATTACAACTATGCTCAGATAACCGCCTATTTTTAGCCAGCACAAATTTCAGACATAAAGAAAGGCACTGTCTGACCTGGCGTCCACCGAGCTCGACTCAGCGATGGACACAGATAGACCACATTGCTATTAGTCATCGCTGGAGAGGATCGGTGGAAGACTGCCGCTCCTTCTGGAGTACGTGTTTGGACAGCGATCATGCGTTGGTCCGAGCACGTATATGCCTGCGTCTCAATGGACGTAGAAAAAATTTGGCAACAAAACCACTACGAGTTCTGCTGGACAACGAAAACACCAAAGCCGTGTTCAGTGAGAAGTTGGCTAGGCAGTTATCGGAACAAAAGACTGTCACTCATCCAGAAGAAGCTTGGTGCCATCTTCAGTCTACTGTAAAAGCAGCACTGGAGACTGTAGCCGACTCCAAGATAATGGCTAAAAAGAGCCAGTGGATATCAGCAGCTTCTTCCAAACTAATGGATGCACGTGAATGCATCCCTGCAGGCTCTGAGTACAATGAAGAGCGAGCGCAACTTAAAAATAACTGACGAAAAGTCTGCGCAACGATCGTGAACAGTGGTGGGCAGCAAAGGCTAAAGAGATGGAAAAGGCAGCGGCGATCGGTAACAGTAGACAGTTATTTAGACTTATTAAGGAGACTGGGGGGAAATGGTCAACAACAGTTAGTGAGGTTATAGCGGAGAAGGACGGATGCGATTCACTCGCAGGGAAGGCGACTGGGACGATGGGCAGAACACTTTGAGGAACAGTTTAACTGGCCTCCAGCCACCATTGCGCTGCCCGCTATCCAGTCGGACCCTGAATGGGACATAGAGACAGGTCCCCCAACACTAGAAGAAGTTGAGAAAGCGGTAGGTAGCCTGAAACGGGGAAGGGCAGCAGGACCAGACGGACTACCTGCTGAGGTATACAAGAATGGTGGTAGAGTTCTCTTAGTCAGGCTAACGGAAGTGTTAGCCAGTATATGGGAATCAAATACGATCCCCTCCGACTGGTCTAAGTCACTCATCATCCCAGTCTTCAAGAAAGGCGAGAAGTCCTCTTGTGATAACCACAGAGGAATCAGCCTGACAAACATAGTGTCTAAGATCCTAAGTTCTATAATTCTCCGACGCCTGAGTGGAGCTCGGGAACAGCAAGCCCGAGAAAACCAGGCAGGCTTTAGACCTGGCCGTGGATGTATCGACCAAATATTCACACTGCGCCAGGTCCTGGAACATAGGCATGCTTACAGACGCCCGACAATAGCTGTATTTCTCGACCTGAAGGCGGCATTTGACTCCGTTGATCGAGAAGTCTTATGGCAGTGTCTGTCACTGAAAGGCGTGCCTAGTAAGTACATCACCTTATTGAAAGCTCTCTACTCGAACACTTGTGGGCATGTTAGAGCCTATGGTGAGTTGTCCAGGGAGCTATACTCATCAAGTGGTGTCCGTCAAGGATGCCCACTATCCCCATTCTTATTTAATTTTATCATAGATATTCTTATGGAGGTTTCCCTCTCGTCACCTAATTACAAAGACGTTGACCCGATCACAGGTGAATTTTCCTTAGATCTAGAATATGCAGATGACATAGTCCTGTTAGGTGAAGACGCTGACAAGATGCAGAGTCTTCTGAACACTTTGAGTGGGAATTTGAGAATGTTTGGGATGCGATTTTCACCACCCAAATGCAAATTTTTGCTCCAGGACTGGTCTTCAGCGGTACCGCGGTTAACAATAGAGAGTGAAGTGGTTGAGTGTGTTGACCACTTCACTTACCTGGGAAGTAGGATCAACCCGGTGGGTTAGTTGCCGATGAGATTTCTGCACGGATACAAAAGGCTCGATTGGCTTTTGCCAATTTGCGCCACCTATGGCGCCGCCGTGATATTCGTTTGTCTATTAAGGGTCGCGTGTACTGCACAGCAGTCCGCTCTGTTCTACTGTATGGCTGTGAAACATGGCCATTGAAAGTGGAAGATACAAAAAGGCTTCAGGTGTTTGACCACCGTTGCCTTCGTAGTATAGGACGTATTCCGTGGTGTCACCATGTGAGTAATGCAGAAGTTAGGTGTAGAGTTTTAGGGAGAAGAGGTAAGTCAGTCGACGAGGTTGTGAACCTTCATCGACTGAGATGGTTGGGACACGTACTACGTATGCCTAGTCACCGATTGCCTCGTCACACAATGTTGGCTGAGGTGGGTCCAGGCTGGAAAAAGGCCCGAGGTGGCCAGACTAAAACATGGCACCAATGTATGAAGTCTCTGACTGTTGGTTTAAGCCATGTAGGACGATGCAGACTAGGTGGTTGGGGTCCACGGGACAAGAGGAACCAGTGGTTGGAGACCCTAGGTGATATGGCTCAGAACCGAAGTCAGTGGCGCAGATGTATACACACATTATCCTCATCTTAACAACGCTATACCGAATCTCACCATTTTGTCACTCCTCTTTCCTTTCTTCTCGTACTTTATATTTCTTTTGACTGCATTCACTTATCTTCATCCTTCACCTCACTACCTTTTTACTTGATGTGCTGATATGAGGTGTGGCAACTCGGACCGTTACGCAGTAATGCCTGGTCCTATGTTGATAATGATGGTGTTGATGATGTGCGCTGTTCTACTGAACGGTCCAGTGAGCACTAAAACGAATAGTGATCTCTGCTGCCTACCCACCCAATGACTACAGTTCAGTTGAAGTGAAACATCACTTCCACCGAAAACTATCTAGCCTCCTAATGAAAGCCAAACATTCACACGTGCTCGTCCTATCACGTGATTTCCATGCAAAAGTGGCTACACTAAGTCAGATAGAAAGTCACTCAGCTGGCACCTTCCGAACACCACCCGAACCAGCCACCAACGACGATCACCTGCCACAACTGCACTCAGAAAATCATCTATTTCTCACCAGAACGAAATTCAAACATAAATAGAGACATCGTCTTACATACCATTCTCAGACTTCATCTCAACAATGGACACACATTGACCATATCAACTATCGCTAGAGAAGGCAGGTCGGAGAGCGCATACTTACATACTGGTCACATGATGTCTCGAACACGCGTATTTCCGCACCTAAATGGAAATGGCCAAACTACACCAACAAGGTCATCAAGAAAACAGCTCGATGATGAGAATACTAAGGATGCCTCCACCAAAAACTGGTTAGACAGTTATTCAAACACAACAACATCACCCATCTACAAGAAGCCTGGCACCCACCCTATCTCAACTCTGCTCTGAAAACAGTCTCAAAGACTCAAAGACTGACCGGTCTTTAGCACTGATTTCGGAAATCTGTGCTGGAATGGCTGTGTTAACCGTGGACGGATTAGGTGAAAGGTGCTGGGAAAGTGGAAGGCGAAGAAATAAATTGTAATTCTTCGGCTGATGAGATAGGCTTCACATGCTGAGCCAGCGCCTACCACAGTGAGCAATTCTAGGAGAGGATGACTTGGATTAGAAGGTTCAGAATGAGGAAACTATGACGCGTCAGTAGTTTGTAGGGTCTTTTAGTGTTGGTCTGTGTCCTATAAAGAGTTGGACCCTCGCATCTTCAGGTTTTCGAGGTGATAGGTATCAATTTTTGAAGATTCTTGTGGATATGATTGAAACCCGGTCACAATGGCCTAAATGTATTCACTCTTTGAGCTCTTGTGAAACTGGAACATTTTCACTAGACTTGATTCTCAGATTTCATTTCTTCCCATACATCTTCGTCTACTTTGATATGACTTTTTCTCCACCCACTTGTTCCTTACAAGCTGCTGTGAAGTGTGGCAGCTTGATGCGATGCGCTTGCGTGCAAGGCTCTACCTTAATTCGGTTTTCAGAGATTTAGGAACATGTTCCATAATTCTTGTAAATATATATCTCTCTGTTCTACCAAAGAACTTGTCTCTGTGCGTAGTTATAAGTTTAATAGATATACTCTGAGGTAAGAAGATTGGTTATTTCTTTCATTATTCTGTATATGTATACCCAAACATATATGTGTTGAGTTGATCACAAAGACTACATGTAAAGTATGTATAGAATCCTCAATTAAGTGATGAGCAGTACGCATTATATGGATGCTCATGATACTTATGGTGTTCGGTAGATGAAACAGGATTATAACCAGTGATTCACTGGTTGTAAGCCAAATGCTTAGACCACTGAGTCACAACTCTACTCCAGAATCGAAAGATAAACAATTATATCAGGTCCCATGTGATTATTGATTCTTCCCCTCTTCTATAACTCGTTTTTCTATCTAAATCGTAGCATACTAACATTAAGAAACCAAGTCATGTTTCAAATGATCAAATTATTCTAAAGGAGGATTTTCACAACATATTACTGAATCGTTTGGAAGTTCAAACCAATCTACCCTACTCTAGGATAATAATCACCCTTGGTTATATAGAGTAATTTCAGTTATGACTGGTTTAATGTTATATTTTCGCTATTTCTCGCAATATTTCTACATATTTATGCTATGTCTAAGTGTTGGATTGAACGCAAAAGAATTATGCAGGTGAATTCTATTCATGATATTTTTCCATTATGTTACGATTTATTTAGAAGGTTGTATAGAAAGTGAAGATAGATTATGCAACAAAACTGCGTCACCTTTTCTGCAGATGATTTTTTGATTGGATTGTTCAAATAACAATAGAATAGATAAAAATTCCTTTCTCGGATGTTGAAGTGAAATTTTTCCATATACAATGTAAGAAAGCACACGTTTTACAAATTCTTCGTAATAAACTGAGGAAAAATCCGTATAGAGAACTTACTGTAAAAGCTTTCTCGGTACACAGAATCATTTTTATATGGATACAAAACTAAACAAAATAACAACCATTACTTTAGGAAACGACAAGACTGAAACGTAGGGATGAATGTTTACTATTGACATTTTGTACGGTGGTGATGAATATTGTACACTTCCCACTAAAACTTTCATTTGGACAATGTGCTTCACTTCCTCTTCTGCTTCTATCTCGATTCGCTGTTAATATGCCAACATTATCTCTTGGGTTTCTCTGGGAAGAATATCTACCCATAGCTGGTAATCGCCTTTGATTTCTGCCACCTACTCAACAAAAACTAATTATATCCATTCTAATTAGCAGTGCCTACTACATTACTAGTTGTATTAGAGGTGACTAACATGGATTACCGAGCAACTTTTGAAGCGATGGATTTCGCTTTCTCATTTCAATGAAAGCACCGTCACTCACTGGGGATGCAGATATATTCAGTCGACGAGTCCCAAATAAGACAGAGTATGAACTTCGGATTTTATCGCAGAACCACAGTAAGAAAAAAGTCAGAAGTGTGAATAAGGGGAAATTTCAAATTCACAATTAATGATACTGCCCTTTCCTAGTTTAATAATGTAGACTAAATAGAAACCAATCTTGTCAAGGTTAACTGCTACCAGAAAAGTAGTCACCAAATTAACCAACAATTAAAAACTAATGAGATAGATTTTGCATCATTCATTTTCTTAAACTATAGTCATCATACATGTTAATTCCTAGAATGTAGGTTGTTATAAAACTATTTGAATAGAATGCAGTCAAAACTGAGTTACCTTCACATTGAACTACTTATTAGTAGCATACAATTAAAACGTAAGAGCAAGCAGGAACTCACAGTCTCTCCGGCGATAGTTACATCAGGTGGATTGTTCGTTAATTTTCTGAAAACTTTTAAACCTTTTGGTGTATTTCTAGGTTTCCCCTTGTCAACAACATCCCAAACTTCTACTTTAATTACACTTTGAGAGTTTTTATGATCCCAGTGAATATTGGCTAACTAAAACGACAATGATGAAATGTAATTTATAACTTGGCGGTAGCAGATTTGCCAAACAAAATGTATAATGGAGTTATGAACAATCGCAAGAAATATGATGTTCGGATAGTATCTTAGTCCTTACAGGAATCACGGTACAAAAATAACAATGAGTTACTTAAAACACTCTTCGGACCTTCATCTAAATAAAGAAATTTACTGCATTATAAATTATATATGCGATCATTCAACTTACTGTCAGCACACTGCTGTTGCTATTTTAACGTGTCAACTGTCTTGTTTTGTCGGTATTGTTTAAAATTCTTAATTGATTTGTATGTATCCTGATTCCATATAGCAGGTCATCATCGGTTACAACTCTTGTAAATCTGCAGAGTATCAAGTCGTTAAAACAATTACTTCTACAAGGCTATCCTCCAAACCGATATCTGACACAGATATCCTAAAACTGTCTATACCAATAATTCGCGGTACCTTTAGCATTCGGACCACGATACGAGTTGGATAATAGAGAGATTTTGGAAGTCTTTCTGTTACGCATGCTGTATTTCTTGCAAGTGAAACGATGCTTGGGTATACTGTGTTTCGATGCGACATGTCAGTAATCAACGACACGGGACTCCGATTCAACCAGATTTCGTACATATCGACACTCAACAGCAAGGCGTGTTTGCAGACCTTAAGAAACTCATGGTGTACCTCGGTGGTTCAAACCCATGTCATTTGATGAAAAATTTAATTAATCGGCAGTCTGTAGGATTGGATTGTATGCATCCAATCTTTTACAGTCTAACACATATCATGACAGAATTATACACGAATGAAAGTAGTTTGTTACGTTAGGATGATCAATGTTATATGACAACCGCCCCCCTCCGGCCACAACGAAGTAGTGGAAAAATTAGAAGAATGCATTAACTTTTCAACTACACACCAGTGTTATAGGCTCAAAACCTACTCTACCTGATTCGACAACAACTGGGCAGGATTGTGAGCCTTAAAAGCATCAAGTGCAACTCATGAAAAAGCGAATGAACTTGTGCCTATTGTTTGAGTTTTGTACACCAGTACATAAACAATAATGGTCACACGAGAGATAAACTTTTTTTCAGTTAACAGCCACTTGCGAGATGATGCATATGTTTATTCCACAGAAAATTTTGTATGGAATTGAATAAACTTAAGGAAATTCTCATCAGGAGTTAGTATTAACAACGAAATGTATTGGAAATCAGAGAACTGTTGATGCAAACGCTATAACAGAAATGAACTGCTCAAGTATTACCTATATAAAATTCTTAATTCTCAAAGAATCAAGAGGTAATACACCACACACGTTTATGGTGGCAATTTTCATGCCACACTAGGATCATCTGAAGAAACACCAATGATCATAAAGAACTGGTATATGCTTCTTCCCCGTTTAACTCGTCTCAAGTATCTACCGACTCTCAACAGCCAAAAATTCAAGGTGACAAGATTATTACATATCAAATAAGCTGGAATTCAACAATTGACATTTTCACCAGTATACTACATCCGTTCATTATTCAATGCCATCGACAGACAATTGCGTTCGCTACAAACTTTCGTAATGTTCAATTAGAAGCGCCAGTTACTGACCCGTAAGCTGTCTAGTTGGTAAGAAAAGGTATCTCTCCAAGTAATCCAATTCCGAAAAAGTATTAAATCTGAAAACCTCGCCTGGTTAACTAGTTCACTAGTTACTAGCCGGTCCTAAGCTCTGACAAAGAGGGAAGGTTGAGCATACGGCTAGCAGCCCTACCACGTAAAACAAATCCAACCACTAAACAAACTTCAAAGCGCAAACAAAATATAAAACATAAAAACAAACTTATTCCTCGCTGGAATCGGAGAGACAAAATGACGCCGGTTGGTGAAAGCCCTCGGGAAGCCAGTTGGTCGATGTGTCTTCTCTCGATGACAGCGAAAGTAAGCATGGAGACATGAAATGTCCTCAACATGTATGAACCTACTAAGGCTGCTCACATTGCCAAAGAGACGAGGAGATATGGCATAGAAGTGCTTGGAATCTGCGAAAGCGGATCGAATGGAAGTGAACTCTCAAAACTCTTAACTGCAGAGTCAATAATCCACTCCGATATTGTCACCAAGACGACAACCAAGAGGACACTGAGTTTCGAAGTGGCTACCATGATGTTCCCAACAGCATCAAAGCCTCTCATGCAGTGGGAACCAATCTCCTCCTCCACGATCAGGATCATGACAACAAGATTCAACACAAACGGGAAGAAAGTCACAATCATACAATGCTACGCCATGCACCTACAAATAATGTGGATCAAGAGAAGGAGGAATTCTACAGACAGCTGCAATCAGTACTGGACACGACCCAACCCCAGTTAGCGACATCAAAGTTCTAATGGGTGGGGTGACATGAATACCAAACTGAGGGCAGACAACACAGGAAGAGAACTTATCATGGGTCGAGAAGCGCTCGGTGAAATAAATGAGAATGATTTCCGTGCATTCGACAATCTGCTGATAGGAGTCAGGCAGTGTGTGCAAACACAAGGATATTCACAAGGCAGCGACATGGATTTGATTTCACCAGACAACAGGACACACTAAAAATCAGATCGACTTCATTTCAATGTGAAGCAAGTGGAGATGCAGCCTATTGGACACAAGATCAAAAAGGGGAGCTGATGTAGGTTCACACCACTCACTACCCAGTGCACGCAACCTGTATTCAAAATCAAGCTGCAAACATTCAAAGAAGTTGGTGATAGACTACAGTTCAAGTTCAACACCCAGAACAGAAACTGAACTGCAGGACGAAACTACAAAGGACATCTTCACGTCAGCCATCAAAACAATATGGGAGACATTGAGAAACATCCCTGAAGGAACCTGCATGGAAGAACACTGCAACTCTTTGGAAGAGATGTAGAAAGAGACCTGCATAACCGTACTAGGAAGGAAGGGGAAACAAGACAAGGAAAGGATTTCAACGGATACATGGAAGCTGATAGAGGAGCGAAAGACGGTGAAGCAGATGAACCAGTGCAAGGATAAACAACGAAAAAAGGAACTGAACACAACCTATAAAACACTACACTGGACAAACAAGTGAAGAAGAGCGAGCTCAAAGACAAAAGACACCTCTACGACACATTGGCAAGTGAAGCAGAACAGGCTGCTGGTAGGAGGGACAGAGACCTCACAACATTATATCAAATAACCACGTTACTATCTGGGAAGAGATGAACGCAGACGAAACCAATGAGAGATAGTGAAGGAAACCTAGTTGACAAAGAGGAAAAACAAAGGAAACGATGGGCTGAACACTTCAAAAAACTCTCAAATCAATCATCACTGCCAACTGCAACTCGATCAGAAATACAACCAACAACAGCAGAACTACCAGTGAACACATGCCCTCCGACAAAAGCAAAAGTCCTGAACGCCATAAAGTTGCTGAAATCTGAGAAAGCAGTGGGACCAGATGAAATTCCACCAGAAGCGCTGGAAACAGACGCAGAGACAACAGCAGCAGACATGCTCACACCACTACTGCAGAAGGTTTCGAAAGAAGGAAAGGTGCCTGCCAATTGATGGGAAGAAGGGCTACCTTGTCGAACTCCCAAATAAAGGAGACCTAAGCCTTTGAAAGAACTGGCGAGGAATCATGCTCCTATTCACACCCACCAAAGCAGAATATTATGCCTGGAGAGACCAAAAGATGCTCTGCATTCAAAATTACGACCAGAACAGGCTGGCTGGCTGGCTGGCTGGCTGGCTGGCTGGCTGGCTGGCTGGCTGGCTGGCTGGCTGGCTGGCTGGCTGGCTGGCTGGCTGGCTGGCTGGCTGGCTGGCTGGCTGGCTGGCTGGCTGGCTGGATTCAGAATGAACAAATCATATGCACACCAAATTGCAACGCTACGCTACGCATCATCACAGAATAGAGCTTAGAATGACAGTCAACTCAACTCAACCTCATCGACTTTGAAAAGGCCTTCGACAGCGTCGACCGAGAAGTAGTTTGGCAGGCAGCTGCTTCAAAACTACGGTTTCATTGCCACAAATCTTTATCAACTTCATTTAACAACTGTATGAAAACGCCACATGCCAAGTGATCCACAATGGAAAGCTCAGTGACGCCTTTGGAGTGAAGGCAGGAGTAAGACAAGGCTGCCGCCTACTATCACCCATAATCTTCCTGATTGTGGTCGACTGGATCATGCAGCAAACCTTGAGGAGCGAGAGGATGGGCATACGATGCCTGGACCGATGAAGAGACCACAGAGGAAGATTTGGATTTCCCCAATGGTTTGTGTCTAATGTTTAATATCGCACAAACTCGAAGATCTACAGGCAACATCCAACAAGTTGACAGAAGAGGCAGCGAAGATGGGACTTCAAGTGAACGTAGAGAAGACGGAGGTGATGAAGATACCCAACCAACAACAGCATCAACAACAAGAGGCACCAATCACCATGAACGGGAGGAACCTAAAGAAAGTAGTCTCTCTCACCTACCCCCTGCGCAGCACCGATTCACCTACAGGCAGGACAGGCACAGACGAGGATATCAAAACCAGGATCGGAAAAGCAAGACAGGCTTTCATTAATTTGAAATCAGCAAGAAGATCTACTCCAATCAGCACAAAGAACACGATCCGGATTTTCAACACTAATGTCAAGTCAGTGCTGCTATGTGGTTCAAAAACTTGGTGCGTCACGAAAAGCACTTCCAACAAACTACAGACATTCATTAACAGCTGCCCCCTACGCTCATCCGATACTGAAGATCAGATGGCCAGAAAGAATAAGCAACAAGGAACTCTGGGAAAAAACAAACCAAGAACCTGTTACCCAAAAAATATGCAGAAGAAAGTGGAGATGGATTGGGCATACAATGAGAAAGCCGGTTGGGGGCATCACGTGCCAGGCTAGTTTCTCGAGTGGAACCCGCATGGGAAACGATGGGTTGGTCATCCTGGCCGAGGGTGACATGGAGATCATGTGAGGAAGAAATGAAAGCTTGTGGGCAGTCGTGGAGCCAGGTTTAAAAGTCTTCAGAGAACAGAGTGCAATAGAGGCGTGCTACTGAAGCCCTATGTTCCAACAGGAACCCAAGGGGGAAGGAATAATAATAATAAAAACTGAAACACTAAGTCAGGAAATATGATTTCTGTAATGTAGTTTTTTTGCTTATCTGTTTAATGTTGTGTGTCTGACGCTGTGAAATACAAACATCAACTTGTTTTCAAGTGAAACAGGATAGAAAAACCCAGAATAGGCATACTGTTACGTCTATTGTACTATATGACTTTTGTAAAAATAAAGAAAAGCATTTTCGAACATATACCAGCTGCATTCTTCAGATGAGGAAGGAGAGCACTTCACAACTCTATCTTAGCACATTTAATCTATTATTACCACGGAGTAAATGCAGAATACATCTTCAGTGTCATCCACAGAGTTCGTACAGGACCCATGAAAGGTGTACATCTCAAACTTTTCAAACCGCGGAAGCCACGGCAATCAGCATTTTTAAGTTTGAACTCTGCATTCAAAAGGAGTTTGTCCAGTCACTCGAGTTGCAATGGATATGAACTATCAGTACATTGTACCCTCAAAATCTTTTCTTTTACCTGCTAACTAGTATATCACTTCTCCCACCTATAAAATTCTGATTTCTCACATTTATCCGTCCCTTTGACCATATTACATCATCCAACTAATTAACTAAATATTGCTTCGATTTTGATATCTTGTTCTCATTACTACTTTAGACTCTACATAATTCTTTTTCCAATCTTCCGATTAATGACGAAAACCGGTTTTTGCTAAAAATGTTTTACAGGAAACTCGTTTCTGTTACCTTGAACATATAATAACTATATGCGATTGTACAGCTTGAGAATAATAACGCTGAGTAGAATGACTCTTCGCTAAACGTCTTCCTAATTAAAATAATCGTACGCATTACACTATCATAAAACCTTTTTTTCTTGTCACTGAATTATGCTTCGTCTCAGAACTAGAATTACTGTTATTACTATAGTAACAATTGTATTTACTGAGACACTTCATGTGGAATGATATCAATAAGTTACTTAAAACAGATAGATATTATCACAATGAAACCTTTACAGGTGGACACTTAATGCATTCTTTACAATTCAGGTACACCAGAAATACATTAATTTATCCTCAACTCCGTAGATTTCTTACACGATATATATCGTGTGAATATGCAACCTGTAAAGAACTGACACCACCAAATATTCGAAATTTCATTCAGTACTACAATCACAGACGTTACTACCGAATCATCCCGAACTGCGTTGCGTAAACTGATTGTCAATTATTGAAGAGTAAATGCCAGTGAAGTCTCCCAGATTGGTGATGAAACGTCCAAGAACAAACCATAAAGCTTGGAGAACACCAAACAGTTATCAAGAGTAACCACTGTCAGGAAGCAGGCAGGCACCACCGTTTATAGATAAACACCTCTCGGAAACGGGTCAAAACAGTGACTGCAAAATAGCCTTTAAATTCTTAAATATGTCAGGACTAAATACTTAGGTTTATCGAGACCATAGCTATACAACAGTTCTAACCTTCTTTGTATGTCCAAAAGTGATTCGCCTATACTTTAAGTCTTCCTTGGTAATCTTTTTGACATTTGATTAGCAGATCTGGTGCAAAAGCATATCACTCCTTCCATATCAGCTTTTTATTCCCACATTTTCTAACATTATATTTCATTTGTTTGACTCCATTTTATTTTCACTCTTTGTACAAATGCTCTGACGAGCTAATGCATGATGAGAATGTCATATTTACCAGTTTTAAATGCTAACCGAATCCTACCGATCACATGTGTATGTTCAAAGTATATATTGCACCTCGGTAAAGTCATTAATACATCTCTGCTATGTATATGAAGTTTTGAAAAGTGCTGGATTTCGAAAATCAAACCAGAAAATTCAAGAAAAACCATTTAACTGGCTCTGAGTATTTCTATCAATATTGCTAATAGTTAAGAAAAATACACCAATTAACTAACCTGAATTTCATTGGATGGGATATATTCTTCTTTAAATTGTTCACCTTTTAAGCGAGAAAGTAACGTTGATTTACCAACACTACGATCACCACGTATCACAATTTTCACTGAAATATAGTAAGTTGATCAATAGCTTATTTTTACTTCCAGTTAAAAGTAATCTGAAATATACCTGACCACTAGATATGGTAAGTGTCAAACGTCAGTTAGTTAAACGCTGAAGTTATGAACCAGGTAGCTAAAGGTAGCAAAGTAACATACTCATCATGAGAAGCTTGGTAATGTGATCAGTCTGCGATGTTTAATGATGGGTGGTGAGTCGAACATCTGATTCATAGAACCACATTTCAAAGGAAATACTTTCAAATGTCAGATGTTGAGAGCCAGTCTCTAAGATGCTGTCCTTCACTTGGTTTTCGTGCTGGTTGACGCCTGATCAGACAGGTAAATCTACAACACTAAAGAAAAACTCTATGTTCCTATAGACATTTAAACACATCACCTAGTTCTGGAGTTTGAGAGTCTACCACCAAATGCAGCGAACCACCAGTTTCATGTCACTTAGCGTACCAAAATCGACAGTCAAACGTCGTTCAAGCTGTATGAACACGATTCACAGAGGAAAATAGCTTCATTTTTATTTCATAGTTTTTCTTCACATACATTCATAAATTCAAGTATATTAGGAGCATGGTGAAGTTAACATGCATGCAGATTGATGAACATCTGTAACATACAACGAGTTCCTCGGATCATGTTCAGAAAGCAAGAAGAAAATTTGTAGGATAAGTCAAGCTCACACTTATTTCATGACTTATCCTCAGCTGCGAACAGTCTAGAATGCATATAGAACTAGTATGGGATAAAGTAGGAAACACTTTTGAGTTTGAGAAAAGTAACCATGTATATTTAGAAATAAAGACACAAACGGGCAAAAGTCAGTTAACAAATGTTAGCAATGGGAATAATAGTGATGAAGCTTGCTTACTTACTGGCAGTTAGAAGGAAGATCCTACAATTTTAATAGCGGTGTGGAAATAGTGAGAAAGTATAACTGATAAAATAATCACTGAGTTTTGTCGGTGGTACTTTTATTTATCAATGTACATGGTTACTTTGTTCTCATGCAAACGTTTCTCATTTCATCCCATGCTAATTCTGTATTTTTTCCAAACTATTAACAGCTGAGGAGAATTTGCGAATTTCGTATGGGCTCACTTTATTCTGCAAATCTTGTTCTTCCTGCTTCGATATGTAGCCAAATTTGAGGTTGAATCCATTGCATTTGTTATCCAACGCAACTCAACACCTAATTGACACAGGATACGAAGTGAACACCTATTCACCTTTCAGGGTAAGTACTAGAAAGGATACCACAAACCCACTTTGTTTTGCTGAGTTGCTGACTATTAAAAGAATTCGAACTGATCTGCGCTTTCAAAAGTATCGCTTATAAAAGTGGTTTTTGTCTTACCGATGCGCTTTTTCCTGAACCCAATCCACCACTCACACTTCTCATACTTTCTGGTCGTTTGATCAACATTCACCGACTTGTTGATCCCATACCTTGAATCATTCACCATCCTTCGTGCTTCTATATGATTCATTTTCCTATGTAATCCATACTCCTAGTGTCTCTCTCCCCACCCCCCCTTCTAGTTTATACCATGTTAAATCCAACCAAATATAAACACAGCATGTGGTCTACTAATATTTGCAAGAACTGTATTTTGATTAGAACTCCACTTCTTGACAAACATCGATCTTAAAGATTACTTTTTCATTCAAATAGGTGGGTTGTAGGCACTTATCAACGTAGTTTTAATCAGACACTGAAGTCAGTTGACGAACCATTGAAAACCTAGAAGAGCTGGAAACCCGTTTCCTACCAAAGTTTTATTAAGGAGTCGTGAGTGGGACAGACACTCACCAATCCCAATGCATGATGGTCACACTTTATCCAGAATTGATATACATTGGATTCCAACCCATGGGCTAAATAGTAGTGTGCTCACTATGAGACTTGATAGTTCTAGGTTCGATCCCTCACGTAGACTTAGTTGTACTAAACAAAATGAAAAAAATTTGAATACTTCTCCGAAACACTATAGTCAGTGAGGTTACCAAGGAAGAAAACAGATAGCTGATAATCTATCAGAAAACCTAAAACATCGAGCGAAACACTTTGAAAAGCAGTTCAATTGGTATGCCATCAGAATTAATTTGAACAACATTCAGACTTGGTTCCCATCGAAGGAAGATATTGGTTCTCCAAACATCACCAGACTTGTAAAAGCTATTGAAAAGCTAAGATGAGGTAAACAGGCAGAACCAAACACTTTACAACAACAATTCTCAAAGATGGTACTCGATAATTGCTGACTAAAGTAACCGATATATTAACACCTTGAGGAGCATCCAATTCACCTAGACTACACAAACGAAAAAGTACCACTAGGCGAGGACCCTCACGGATTGATAAAATCAACGTGGGACCTCGCACACAAGTGCATCGCCGTAAATTGCAACACTTTGCAGTCTTAATCTCCCCGCATGACTCAGATCAACAGTAAGAGACTTCACAAACTGGTGTCACCTCTTGGTCTGGTCATCCTAAACTCTCATCCAACCTAATCCGACTTCCCATAACACGGCACGTCGAGGTAGACACTGGCTCGGCATGCACAGTACATGTCCAAGCCATTTCAGTCGACTAAGGTTCACAAACTTGTCAATAAACTTGCCTAGTATCCTTCGCTTGACCTCAACATCGCTCACATAGCGATCCCATCAAACGCGAGCAACACTACAAACACACCTGTGATCAAAACCCTGAAACCGATTCGTGTCCTCTACTTTTGACGGCCATGTCTCACAGCCCAACAGCAGGACAAAACGGACTGCAGCGCACTATACTTGTCTTTTGACTGATAAACGGATATGTCGCCAGCGCCACAAGTGATGCAAGTTAGCAGATGTCACCCAGGCCCTCTGTATCTGAGCTGAGATTCCATCAGCAACCAGCTCGTTCGACCGGCTGATGTAACTCCCCAAGTAAGTGAAGTGGCAGACATATTCCAACACTTCACTCCCTAGCATTAAACTGGGAGTCGTTGCAGACCAGTTTTGAAGCATCATCTTACATTTAACATATGCCAAACATACTCAGATTTCTATCTAATGAGTTCGAAAGACCCTGTATTTTGCCAGAGTCTTCACATAGCGGGACAAAATCTTCTGCATGCTCTAAATCAACCAGATGACCTCCAGGAAGTTGTCAGATATACCTAAGGTTAAGCCTATTAGTGCATCTACAACGAAGTTAAATAGGAACGGTGACAGTGGACACAATTTTCTCCAATCCACATGACAACTCTCCACAAGCCCTGAGACGGCTGTATGAGTTCGCATGGAGAGCTTTGACTGGCATTATATACCCGCTCGGTATCACCTTCACATTCAGATACTGCAACAACACCTCACGGTCGACTGAGTCAAATTAGGCCATCACGTCAAGAAAGATGTCAACTGTCAGCCAGTGGCTGGTAGATATGTCTATATCAGAGGGGGGAAATATGATTGATGCCCCCTCATCCACCTCTGTCTGGCTCCCTCGAGCTCCAGCTAGGCATCACATAACTATGGACCCTAGGATCTTGGACACAATATTAGTCAAAGTAATTCCCCTACGGTTGTCACAAGATTTTTCCTCCTTCTTAAGGACTGGGATTATCAGTGAAGTACATCAGTCTGACGGAACTACCTCTGATTTTCATACAGTACACAGTAACTCCCCCAATCTAATCAAGAATTCCCTACCCCCACCCTTGAAAACTTCCAGTGGCAAACTGTCAGGACCAGCTGCTTTCTATCATCCCAGGTTCGATACAGCTTTCTCAACTTCAAGGAGATGGAGGGCCAACATCTACCTCCTATTCAGGTCCAGAACGGATGTCAGACAAGTGAATGGTTGCTGAGGGCTAGTTAAACTGTGCTTCAAAGTGTTCTGTCCAACGTTCTAGCCACCTGTCATAGGAGGCTGTCAGCGTCCCATCCTTTTCGCTGATGGCTTAACTAACCATAGTCTCCTTTTAACCGGTATCCTTAATAAGCCTAAGTAGTTGCCGGTGTTACCCAACTCTGACCCCTTCTTAATCTCTCTTGCTCTCGCCACCCACCACTGTTCGCGATCATTGTGAAGCCTCTTATTCAATTTAAGTTTAAGTTCCTTTCCTTCTTCATCATAGTCAGAGCCAGCTGGAATAAGTGTTGTCGCGTCAACCAGTTTGAATGAGGTTGCGGAAATCCAGTGGCGTTTGCTAGCTTTCGGGTGTAAGTTACCAATTGTCTTTGCCGTTGTTCCTACAGCAGACTTAATATCACGCCAAGTTTCCTCAGGGTGAGTATTGCTGTCACGTTCAGACAAATGCTTAGCTCACTCCTCTCTAAATGCCTACTTGGTGTCCTCACTTCCCAATTGAGCACAGATGGGTCTCACTGCCTTCTGAGACCAGTAAGGCGTGGACATACACGGGCCCGTAAGAGCGTGTGATCGGAGTCCAAACCAGTACTCCAGAAAGAGAGTTAATATTTCACTGATCCTCTCCAATGCCCGACTTATAACAATGTGATCTATCTGTTTCCATCGTTGGTTTGAAATCTCCGGATGCCATGCGAGACAGTCTTTCCTTATGCTTAAAGTTAGTGCTGGCCAAAGATAAGTGATTGTCGGAGCAGAATTGCAATAGATGATCATCGTTGTTGCTTCCTTGGCATAGGATTCCGTAAATACCCCTAAGATGCCTGGATCAGCTTCATTACTGGAGCATCAAAGTCACCCGCTATTATGACTATATATGAACATTTCGGTCTCTGTACCAAGTTGATAGCTTCTTATAGAATTCACCCTTTGCATCATCCAAACTACACACGATGGATGAGTAAGCGGAGACTACAGATAGGCATCACCTACTTTCACCATCCTTCCTAGTCCTTACAGATCTATTCAGTCGAACAGCATATAGACAGCTGTTGACTAAAATTCAGTCGGGAAGCGCACTTTTGACTCTACAACTCAATGCTATACCTACACCAACGAGTCCACGAGAGCTAGTCCTCGGGTGTCAGGATACTCTTAAGGTGAATTTTGAAGATTCATTACTATGGTCAGGTAAGGTCAATTTTGTAACCACAATCAGGTCCTGTATACGTGTCTCAGAGACACAGCATACATTCATCGTTAGAGATTCCAGAGTTCTGGTGAGCGATGCCTGCTGTCCGACTTGGCATAGAGTTCGGATGTTGAAAGCTCCTACATGAAATCGATGCCGGGCAGGGACTTAGGAGACTAGGAATGAAATTTCAATGGCTTTTATCGTCGGGAATGATTGCAGAATGAAGCTGAATAAGTCGTATAAGGCTTAATATTAGTATCGGGAGGTGAACGGTAAGGAGGAGAGGTTATATTTGATTGGGTCTTGTGCACTACTAGAAGCGCGCGGGGGGTTGACACTTTCCGACTGCACACATCGTGTAAGGCTAGTTTTTCTCGAGGTGCCTGAAAGAGGAAACGATTTGCGCGACCGCAGAGTCGATGAGATGTCTGCTTGAGGCCTGTCATACATACGGCATTTTGTGCGATATGGTTTTAAGATTTAGTTTTTCAAACGCCGTAAAGATAGAACCCATGCCACCGACACTGAAAGACTGTGGAATGTGTTATTTTTGAGGTCAACCTTTTCTAACCCTTTCCCTTCCCATAGGGAAAGCAGCATCAGCGTGGCGCTACTAGTTCTCCAAAGGAATCACGCTACTGCTGTCGTCCCCCATCCAGCCAGCAGTACGACTTCGCTCTTGGACCCCCATTACTCTGTAGCACTTTTCATTACAGCAGTGATGGTAACTGCTTTTCGTCTTACCACTGTTCAATAGACCTTTTTGGTATGGTAGGACCTCGAGGGAGCAAACGTTTTAACAGCACAGCTTGTTGGGTTATTTTGATAATCAAGCCCAACCACATCAAGGTAGCAGCTATCGGCGGGGAAAGATGCTAATAAAAGCTTAAACAAAAATTGATAACGATTGGTTGGTATGCGTCCCAAATCTATAGTATGTAAGATAATGCTTCAGGACTGGTTCACAACCAATCCTAGTTTAAGGACAAGAAGTGAAGCGGCAGAATATGTCTAAAACCTAACTTATATTGGAAATTTCATCAGATCTAATAGGTTGTCTCTTGACACGATCACAACTCTAATACGAAAAGCCAATTTAGCGCTCTCCAACTTATACCACCCTGGTGTCGGTGAGATATCGAACTAACTATTTTAGGAAAAAGAGAATACGGAGCAGTTGAAATGTGAAGCATGGCCACTGAAGGTGGAAGGAATTACAGTTTTCTAATAATAGTCATGCTCGCATGTTATGAAACCACAAGAGAGTTGTGTTGAGGTTGAGTGTCCAGTACTAGACAAAGAATGCAAGTCAGTCAGTGATTTTGTTAACCCCCCTTGACGGAGGTGGCTTGAAAATGTGTTGCATATATCTAGTTATGACACACCTCAGAGCACAGTGTTAGCTAAACAAGGGTTATGTTTGAAAAAATTTAACGGTAGCTACATCAAGACATCCTCTCTGATTGCTGATCTGACCTGTGTAGGAAAGTTAATCATACTGCCTGATTGGTCAAACCAAACTAAATAGGGTGAAGTTCGGGTGCACAGCAAACTGGTAGAGAGTAAAGCGCCTAAACTAATGAGCCATGGCGTCAGATTAAAGCAAACTTAGTGACTGATGTTTACACAATTTGTAGCTGCTAACACTCGTCTCCAAGGTACTAGTGACTTTGAGATGTTCATGTTTCTTACAACATACGAACGTACTTTCTGGATGTTACAAACACACTAGGTACTAGTAAGCCAATCTACCCTTCAGGTTTTCTTTTCAGAACCCAATATGAAGAGAAGTGACACTTCGCTACCATCCTCGGCCCTGATCGAATCCTATCAACCAAGTTGTAAAATATGATTCCTTTGTATATTCACCGAAATATTTTAATAAATATTCTTTAAAACAGTACAACAATGAACCAATGAACCAATTTATTTTCAGAATAATAAACATACAGTTATAATCAACTCCACGAGAAAATTTCTGCTGTAAAAATGCTCCAATAGGTTGTATGTCTTTAGATGAATGCTTTTTCCCAGTTGTGCCATCATTTTTCATCCACCAGTTCTTAACTATAGACATTGTCAACTTAGCAGTTCAAAGAAAACGCTGGTTTTTTGATGTTATGTAACAAACTGAGGTTGGTCGATGCTGAAGTTGAGGAAAATACAACAACACCGTTGATAAAGGAAAATAAAACAATCAAAAAAGGTTAATTTTAAGCCCATAGAAATTTAAGGAAACGCATAAAGGCCCTTTAGAAGTTTTTCATTAGTAGGGTTGCGTTAATGCCTCATAGGTCTTTAACGCATTATACAGGACTTTAGTATTTGCCTTAGGAAAACTCTTCAGATAATCTCAATAGCTTATCTTAGAATAAAAGTGAATGTGTTCCTAACATGTCGTTTATGCCTTTTGAATGAAAGATGAAGGACAACCACAAACAGAATTATGTCTTTAACCTTGCATAGGATGTAGCGGGTCCCTGGAAAGAAGCATTCAAAGGTAAGAGCCTATCCATAAACAAAAATGGAGGAAGTCCTAAACAGCTGAGCACTGAAGCTCATAGGAGAAGGACATTAGATAGAGTCAAGGCTAAACTGCACCAACACGGCTGTCTTGATACAAGCGTCGGAAGAAAGTAGCGCAGATAAAATGGGCTGCTAAATCAAAAAGAAAGCACACTGAATGGCAATATTACTTTCAGTTCCTATAAACACTCATAAGTAGTAGTAGTGATTATTACTCTCCATTTTTAACCTAAAGATCATGATGTATAAAAATATGGCTCAACATTTCGCGTAAAACACTGAGTGACAAATCAAAGTAAAACCTGGCAAACAAGAGCATCGCCACAAATTCCCACACTTCACAGTAGTATACAAAGAACAGGTAGATAGAAAAGAGTGATATCAAAGCAGATAAAGTAGTGTAGAGAATAAACAATCTGAAAATAAAGGTTAGTGTAAATATTCAAGATTTAGATGTCAAGGAGTGAACACATCTGTAACATTGTGACCGACTATCAGCGATGCCACGAAAAGTCCCAGTCGCTGATTCCTTCAGTCTCGTGGACCTCAACTAGGCAGTCTGCACCTTCCCCACACGACTTAGATCAACAGTAAGAGACTTCACAAACTGGTGTCACCTCTTGGTCTGGTCATCCTAAACTCTCATCCAACCTAATCCGACTTCCCATAACACGGCACGTCGAGGCAGACACTGGCTCGGCATGCACAGTACATGTCCAAGCCATTTCAGTCGACTAAGGTTCACAAACTTGTCAATAAACTTGCCTAGTATCCTTCGCTTGACCTCAACATCGCTCACATAGCGATCCCATTAAACGCGAGCAACACTACAAACACACCTGTGATCAAAACCCTGAAACCGATTCGTGTCCTCTACTTTTGACGGCCATGTCTCACAGCCCAACAGCAGGACAAAACGGACTGCAGCGCACTATACTTGTCTTTTGACTGATAAACGGATATCTCACCGGCGCCAAAGGTGATGGAAGTCGGCAAATGTCAGCCTGGTCGTCTGAGTAACCACTATATTTTAGGTACCTGGAGGTAACTGTTTAGAAACCATGGATATAGGTTACATGCTTGATATTCGTTAACAGAGTGTATCTACTGCCCAAAGAGAAAACTGATATTCCACCAGGTAAACCATGATGACGAGTCCACAAAACATGAGTTCAGGAGTTATTCCCAACTACCCCCAACTAATTAACATCAATCAGAGTGCACTGCGATGGTGAGTCCCTTAGCTCGGTAGGGACACTGAAAAACGATCAATATTCGATCAGCACTTGGATTTAGACATTATATTAGTTACTAGTCTTTGGTGACCTTCGGATCTTCCAGACCAGGTAAGAGCGACTGAAATACCAAATGGTTACTTTACTTGTCCAGTTTCACGTTTATCAACTATGAACGCAGAAAAACAGCTCATACACCATATACCATATCATATCAATTAAATCTGGCAAACTGATTGCTCTGTATGTTTACCATAAAGTGCATCATCGATTTTTAAATTATTCCCAATCCAGTGAGCTGGATGTCCAGCATTTAGGTCGCTGTGATCAACAACAACGGTTTTAACGACACGTGTTATTACGTAATATCTGAAGTTAGAGAGATGGTTGAGACCGTTTCGCCTACAAAGATAAACCTAAAACTACCGTATAAGAAACTTGTGAAAAAGCGTACAAACATGTTATACCTGGCCTCTTTGGTTCAAAATTAAGACACGATTCGGATTATTTGGACCGACAAAATACAATACAGGTAAGATTATCAATGATGATAAATGAAGCTTTATACGTCTTTTAGGAAGGTCGACTACAATACAGTTATATCAGCTCGAATTAGCACTACAAATTCCAGTTATTACTACTTTTTACTTAGCATAATCTTCCCAAGTGGATACGCAAAAGTCTATTCATCCCACACATATAACAGATGAAGTGAATGGGGAACAGACAAACATAACACGCGTTACAACTATCTTAGTGACGCAACAAAACATTGCTACTATAATTATCCCTCTTTCTTATGAATATTCTAAGTAAACTAAAATTGTTGTTGTTAATAAGTTACTGAGAAAATAATACAGGAAAAGCGTTAAGCAAACCGAGTCTGACCATCTTAGGGAAAGATGGCAAAATACACTTGCTTCTGCGGACTAAGAGGACGGTTACCACTTTCAAAAGTGACAGACCAGTCAACATTTTTGCAGAGGAAACCCAGAGCCAAAAAATGTTTTGGGTCAAACCGCCATCAACTCAAGGCAATCTACTGACCATGGGGCAAATATAACAAAATAAGGGGCGGAATGCTGGGTCAAAACATCACTCGCGCAAAGCGGCATACTACTTATAATTTGCTAGTGGCTTAAACTTAATTCTGGAAAATTTGTCGACAGTTACCACTTCTCCTTTTCACCTGTTATAAATAACACTATTGTTCTTTTTACAGAAGCCTATTTATTATTATTTCGTTCAGTTCCTTCTCGTTCATATTTCATCTCCAGAACAGATCCTAACTGGGAATGTTTATCACGGCTAAGTGGGCCTTTAGTGTTAAGCGTTACAGACTTACTATACTAATCGTTTCGCAACTGAACTCCAGCTATTGGCGTCTAATTCTTTTTAACTAACTCTCTGCCTTATTGACATCTTGCTTCACATAAGAACTGTAGACAGTTATTTTTTCAGGAGGGGGGAAGGATGTAGCATAATGGATCCCAATACACTACCTTCTAGTAGTTTGAGACGTAAACGTTAGCAACTCATTGTAATGGCTTATAATTAAATATATATTTAGGTAAGACGCACGTCCCTCATAGAAGTACAATTCACCGAAAAAAGAAACTATAAAAGTGATACTGTAAGGAAGTGCTTCCAATCAGAGTAAAAAAAAATTTTGGAAGGGGTCCTCAGAGTTGAAACTGATGGTAAACCTGACAACTTTGTGAAACCTTCAGACGTCGCTATCAAAAGTGATGAAGACTCCAGTATGCATCAAACTATCATAACCATCATATAAATTTATTCTAAGATACTCGGCAACAGGAGACCACCAACTACACCCACGATTCTATTGCAGATATTGGAAGCAGTGTGAATACTGAAGAAAATCGCCAAGATACGATCGTCAACTTTGCCAAATGCATTTTCGAAAGTGCGGGCAAAAAAGGAGTGAGAAAAAGACAATGAGTTACGACGTATTTCATGTAGCCCCCGAAATATTTGTCATGTAGATACAATAAATTAAAATGCCGGAAGACTTCAGTATTCCCCTGGCATGATCAAAGAAAAACACTTCAGTCATAAAAATAAATTAGGCATGGAAGTGACGCGAGAAATATGAAAATATTTGGCAACATAAGTGTGAGTTGAAATCGAGAAATAAGGAATTCGTAACAAAGTGGGCAGAAAGTTATTGGTGAGCAAAGCAGAGAGAAATTTGTAAATGAGCTAAACGAAAAGTAGTTACTTAACAATATGCCAAACCAAGAATAAATCAGGCTTAAGAAACGGAACGTTTAAGAATTAAGAAGTAAATAGGGAAAGGCACAGCAAAGCTGGTTCTGGATACACAATTCCGGTTTTGATTGTTGCAGTGTCAGAACCTCAGTGATGAAAATTAAACGTTTCCTCACATCGTTTTTGCTTTGTAGACCAGTATGGACGAATCTTCCGAAACCTCATCCGCTGTCAACCAAATGCTATGATATGGAGCTGTTGACTGATTTGCGTTGACTTTTACCAAGTTATATTGGAAGGTGTTGGTAGCGACTTTGGACAGTTTGCCTCAGCGTACAACCTATGTACCTAGCTCCGCAGGAGCAGGTAAATTGACTTATGTACACTCAAGTGGCTAGTACTGACAGTTTGCACTCCATACACATATTCACCACTGGCTGTATAGCGTTTTTGCGACAGCCTTCATTAGTTTGCGTTTTAGTACCTTATTCGCTGCCATTTCATTGGATTTCAAAATTAGCTTTTTCTTCTTCACAGTAATAAGAGACTGATGGATAGCATTCCTATGTAGATTTTTACCTATAGGCCCTTCTGGATATCCAATTCTTATCGATGTCGATCTTGGATATTGAATATCGTCTTTTAAAGTGTCAGGACTACAAATACTATGGACTCATGAGGAAACGAAACGGACTGAATTCCCTTTACAACTAAGAATAGAGAATAGTTGAAAATTTGCTTTCTGATAATAAATAATATTAACCATGCACCAGAGAACTACAACAGTAAATGAGTCGGATCTGGCCTGTATGTGCATTCAGTTTGGAAAAGAAGCTGAGTAGTCTGATCAACGATTACTGCTAAGCCAAACCCTTTAAGGTTCTTCAGCTACAATGGAATGGAGGGGATTTTTTTTATGCCATAATTCTTTTCAGTAACTGTGGCCTATTTGAAGTCGAAAATCCTTCATAACTGAATACTGGAACTTAATCTTCAGCAGTCTGGATTACTCGATGATGGCAAATCAGCTGAACATTTCAGTAGTACATAGAGCTTTAACATTTACAACCGGACCTCAAAACTG